AAGCCCCGTTTTCAGGGTTCTTTGCACATCTGTCCTCCTATAACTTCAGTTTAGCACTTTAGGGATAAAATCCGTTTTGCCGGTTCCCAAGTCTGAACTTTTGTGGGTACTAGGATTTTACTTATTGGGCAACCGATGGGAGAATATAGTATTTCACATCTATAGGAGGGAATTTGCGTAAGAAGTTTGAAGATTAAAAGTTCTTCCTTCGCTACGTCCATTGCCTTCTTGAAGCAACAAACAACATAAGAACAGGAAAAAAAGCAAAAGCCTTCCTCCCCCTCCCTCTCAGCAGCAACTCAGGAAACCATCAGAATTGCTGGTCTTGGTACTACTTTTGCCATGGTTCAGATCAAAGAGTTGTATCCTCCCCAAGTTCTTGTGTTAACAGTGTTTTCTACACAAGTTTATGTTTTCTGTATGAATTTGTGTATACCTGGGCTCGTTCGCTTTGCTGAAAAAAAAAAGCTGAAACACTGTTCCGGCTGATTTGTTGTGAGAGAAAAATATTGTTCCGGCTGAAAAAAACAAGCTGAAAAGTACGGATCAGGACCGACTTCAATCTTGCGCAAAGCCGGATCGTCATGCCATGTCGATGGAAGAGGTACGATGATCCAAGAGCAAAATAGAAAGTTTTAAAATGATGATTTTGCATTCCTGTGCTTGACTTGACAAATGAACTGCTGAAGCTGAATCCTCGTGTTACAGTATGAAATAGGCTTGAGCTACACCATCGTAAAGATGGAGCAGCAAAACACAAATAGCAAGGAGGGTGTAGAGGTACTGCAGCAAGTCCCATTTGAGGATGAGAAGCTTGGCAAGGGCCAATTCACCTCAAAAATTTATCATTTGCAAAGGTTTGTATGTACCTTCTTTTAGATTAAAAAAAACTTTATCACTTGCAGAGGTTTGTATGTACCTTCTTTTTATTAGATTAAAAAATATATCACTTGCAGAGGTATGTACCTTCTATTTTTTAGACTAAAAAAGACAAAAATTGTGGCTGCTGGGATTCGAGCCCAGGTCTCCACGGCCACAACGTGGAATTCTTACCACTAAACTACAGCCACTTACTTGATGGAACTCACAAATATATCAGACTTATATCTATAGCTATTTCAGAAGCATAAGTATTAAGGCTTTTTCAATATACATCAGTGTTTATTTTATGAACATTGTAAGGAACCTTGAAAACGATTAAAATCAAAATTATGTGCAGCAAAATTCCATCATGGATGAAGGGCTTTGCACCTGCCAGCGCTCTCACAGTGCATGAGGACTCTTGGTGTGCATTTCCAAAGAGCAGAACAGGTTAGCAATTTTCACTTTGGACATTTCAGAACATACTCTGTAATGTAATACTCAGTGGGTGAGAATGTGCGCTCAACTTGTTCCATTGTGTTTTCATGATGGCCTGAACTCCATCTACTCTGACTTGCACACTAGTGATCAAGGTATTCAGAAGTGCTACTCAAAAGCTGAACCCTACATTGATAACTGAATACTTCAGGCTAACTTGGCTTTCTTCATCATTTGTCATCAGTGCCCACTTTTCAGCAAGTGTTCACTCACCATTGACACTGTAATCAGACCCGACAACGGTTGCTCTGAAAATGTTAGTTGCCTTTAATAACCACACTTCAAAATCCCAGTCTCAGAAAATGAGAAGAATATCAGAGTACTAATAAGAGTGTACTAATGTGCACCAGGTGCACAATTCGACCAGTGAGCAGCTAGCCGCAAGAGAAATTGAGATCATCGACATCGCATCTATATCACGAGACTACTGGAGTAAGGTGATCGTTGCTCCAAATGTCGATCTGACAACCTTCAAGTCACAACGAACAGAACGAGGCCCTCTTCTGAAGGGATGGATGGTATGGAGCAACACAGATTTCTCAATTAGTATATATGCCAATGCCCAATGGACAATGTTGCCGTTCAGAAGCCTGGTACTGCTGTTGTCAAGTGACATATCACGTTATCACATATATGCATGTACATATGCTGTTCTCTCTGCAGGATTCATGCGTTCCGGTGATGACCACATACAAGCTGGTGATCATGGATGCTCCCATATGGGGCCTCGGCGAACGGCTCGAAGATTGCATCATTGCGGTATGCCGATATATCACGCCCTGCTGATAGATTGGCATTCTCTGAATGAACAAGAGCACTTCGCCAGTTCGTCAGTCAGTCTAAACCTGCCAGCGAAGCAGGACGGCACAATATAATGTTCAGAAGTTCAGAGATTTCTCCTCTCTTTGTCGATAGGATTCAGAAGCTCCGCGCTAATGCAGTGTGTGCGTTTCGTTCACACAGGGGGAGAGGGCGCTGTTCCTGGCATGCCACCGGCTGTGCTTCGCGTGGATCGACGAGTGGTACGGCATGACCATGGAGCAGATCCGAGAGATGGAGCGGCAGACCGACATGCTGCTCAAGAAGGTCAGTGTCTTTGCGCAGTACGCACGTTCTCCTGCGCCGTGACTGAGCATATTTGATATGCCTGATGCATTAGCTGACGCGTTGTTTTCATCGTCGCAGACGCTGAAAAAGCCCGTGAAGGCCGGGAGCAAGCACGAAGGCAACAGGAAGACGCTCAAAGACGAGATAGTGGCCGTGGGGAGGTGCACGTAGTGCTAGACTGCTAGTTTTATGTGACGGACCATTTGATTCCATTGACAGCTGCATTTCGCCACATGCTGTCGCCGTCGGGGCCGGGGTATTGGCGGCAGAAGCCCGACGCGCTGTACATGGGATGTCGTAGATTAGGCATGTGTAGTGTGTCCACATCTGTCTGGTAGAATTGAAGAACCGTACGTATGCATCGCTGGATGTATGTATATACATTATCAAGGGCAGGCACTGTGGTTTGCCTTTAAACCACCCAAAACTAGCAAGTTAGCCCGACCTATTGTACACATAACGTATGGAGATAAAAAAAACGTTGCAAATAGTTTCCTTTATTTGTTTGATTATAACGGCATATCTCCATATGATCACACTGCATCCATTGACACGAATCTTGTGCTTATTGTCGACCAATTCTTCACCATGAAGCTATCGTCGCATCTCTTGTCGATCAACTCTACTGGCATCAAATTCCTTTGATTACCAGTGGTTTAGAGAGTCTCTGGATCCCTATATAGAATGCTTATTCTGCAGAATTTAGCATTGGTACACTGCATTTTTGCATAACTGATATTTCTCCACAAATGGCACTTCAACTTTGTCTTCAGTTGAGGCTCTAGAACCAAGATAACCTACATTTGTCATCTGTCCAAATGCTGTCCGGATTTGTTCAGGAAACAGGATGGCAGAGACCTGCTGTTCTTGCAGTTGCAACAAGATATAATATTCTTTGAGTTGGCAGAACTGAAAAAAGATTGCAAATATTCTTTGTCTTCAGGACTGAGCTTTTCTATCTTTCAAAACTGAACTAAATTGGACATTCTAATTTGGGGCTGCTCATTTGGTGGTCAGATATAATTTTTGCCTCAGCAAGGTAATGCCCTTTGTTTATTCAGACAGGTTCCTAGCTGTAAGTTCACTTTTTGCTCAAGTACAGACCTGATAGTTCAGCAAGTATTTTGGATAAGTAGCACTAGCAACTGCTAAGTACTTACAGAACCTTGGGGAACTTAACAAACCCATGAATCTCATAATTGGATTTGGGACTGCTTCTGTCAACCCAAACATAAGGTTTTCTTTTGCCTTTTAATCAAGAACAGGCTTAGCACAAGAAACATTCTAAAACGGAGAAACATGCAGCTACCATCCTACAACTGTGTCCTGTGTGATCTCGAGACAGAAGAAACATTACAACATCTTTTCCTTCAGTGCCGTTTTGCAAAGCAGTGTTCGGAATTTATTGATGTCCATCTACCACCCAATGCCATACTTTTTCAGCCAACGAATAGTATTTTTCTCTCATAACAAATCAGGCACCAGTACTTTCAGCCATGGCTTATCAGCCAAACGAACAGGGCAATAAAGGATGCTATCCAAACCCAGTTCTTCATGCCAGCAATCATCTTACTCTGTTGGGCAATATGGTCGTCAAGAAATGACCTCATTTTCAAAAGGTTTGCAACCAAATGTACCCGCTTGCAAAGCAACCTTCCTCGAAGAATTGCAGTTACTCAGCCACAGAGTCAGTATCAGACGTGCACAGGCTTTTGATCGATGGAGTCGTTCACTGGTTTAGTCTCTAGGCTGAGTCTTATTTTCTTTTTATTCTTTTTTTTTCCTGAGCCCTTTTGTGAGGACTCACCTCTGTAAGATCTTTTAACTCTTATTCATTAATATTTTTTCACTGTAGGGGCGCCCTCCAGTTTCCTAAAAAAAGGCTCCTCTTCATCATTCAGAGGCTAATATGATGACTGGTTGATCGTAAACTCTTACTGAGCCAAAAATTAAAAATTCCTTTTTCAAAAAATACACATGTACGGCAATAAAGATGAACCGCCAGGTGTCGGAAGTGCAAAAGCAGAATAACCGCGGGCCAACTCTTCCGTTCCCCTGTTACGATCCTACAGTAGTAATCAGCAACAGCAAGCAGCCAGCTGCCAGCCAAGCAGACGCCGACACCAAGATCAGGCGGATCGGGCCAAGGTTCTTTTAAGTTTCACGGACTGGAGAACACACCAGAAAACCCAAGAGGCCACTGAAAGCAGAGCTTACCCGCGTGTGATGATCTGTGCAGTAGCGGCCTTGGGGTGCCCCAGTCCCGCACGGAAGAGCCGGCAACGTGGGTCGAAACCGCTCCTGCCGCGTGCCACCCGCCGTGGACACGTACACCCTCTGTCCCGGTGGAAATTAGAATCAGAGCAGTTGCTACTCCCTGCGAAAAATGGAAACGCCCTCCAAGTACTCTTATTATCTTATATAAACGGGCGCGTGCCACCTTTCGCCAGGCACACAGTTCCAGGCGGTTCTTCTCCTTCAGAGAAAGAAGGCGCATCGTGACTTCGTGAGTGAGAGAGAGAGAGACACAGGCAATGGCGTCGGCGACGTTCCTGGAGGTGCTCCTCGCCATCTTCCTCCCGCCGGTCGGCGTCTTCCTGCGCTACGGCTGCGGCGTAAGTGGAACTCTTACTCACCTCAAGGACATACTCGTGTGTCGTTGTGCTCTTGCCGTGACTTGGATGGTGGCGCGCGTGAACGATGGATGGATGTTGCAGGTGGAGTTCTGGATCGACCTCTTGCTCACCATACTGGGGTACATTCCGGGGATCATCTACGCGCTGTACGTGCTGGTGGCTTAAAGTGAGACGGCGAGGACTCCGCGGAGACGGCCGTTGTGCTTGGAGGACATGTATGTATGCTGTATATGCAAGAGAAGAGTGAGCAGAGGATTCTCTATCCAAAAGTAGTCGATATGTGACTTGTCCCAGTGTATCAGTGTCTCGATTATGTGAATTTGGAGTGACGATCGGTGGATGGTGTTGAATGTGTGTTGGTACTCAAGCAAAGTTGTGTACGTAGTTGGGGCAGAAATGTGTATCACAGGAGCAGTGTTTGTTGTTTCTTTCTTTGATCAGAAGACAATACTGCAATTGCTGGAACGTAATTGGTGTTATATGTCATAGTAGGTTCTTACGGTTCTCTGATCTGCCGTTGTCCCATGCGAGTTGTGATTTAGGCTGCTCCCGATAAATCCAACCGAAACCATGGTTCTAAATCTCAGCGGCGGCCTCCTTCACAAACTATTAAACGACGACCGTCTTCTCCAGAAACTATTAGACAGGATGCAGCGGAAATTCTTAGCCATTACGTACATAAATATAAAGCTATGAAAAACTTATGACCACAGATAATTCAGTTACATATTTACATGGACTCTATGAGATGTCTATATACCGGTTATTTCAGTTCTCCAATCAATTAACATGGCTATGATCAACAATTCATAATTTTTTTTTGCGAATAAACAATTCATAATTTTTAACAATAAATAAATAGTTTATTGCATTATATTATTTATGAAGTAAAGAATATAACGATTATGAAGTATAACTAGTCATCTTCAGTAGAAATGATTTTTTTTCCTTCATCGGTTAGTGGTGCTAGAAAAATCACGGCGTGATTTTTAGTAAAATTAAACCAATTAGCAACGCTCAGTGAAGTTAAAACATACTTAATAGCAATAGGAATAGCACAGTAATTGAAAATATTATAAAACGGACTATATGCAACCATCAAACAAACCGTACAATAGCAGTCTTTTTTTTTGTATATCTTAGACAGCATGAAGTCTTGTACACCGACAAATTCCCGGTTCAATCGTGAACAAGGGAATGGGCCTCTGATAAGTGTTGTTTGTGTTATTTGGGCCTGTCCAAACCAAAGAATCGTAAAGGTCGGGAGGCTCGTGGTGGTAAAATTCCAGCCCAGCGAACCGTGCCAAGCGCTCGCGCTATCGTTATGCGACCTGACGCCTCGTCGTCTGCGGCGGCCACGCGAAACACGTACAGACGCACTGAATTGGCTCCCTTGAACGATAGTAACAGCAGACGAGGAGCACACCGACGCTACAGATCACTAGTCCAGCTACGATCGCAACCAGTACTATCGTGTCAACTTTATGGTGGTGGTGCGCCTGACGATCTAAACAAGAAGATAGTAGTAAAAGTTGTGAGTTACCGAATGCATGTCCATGTTTACGACTTAATAACTAAAGAATACGTAGTCATGCACTGACTCGTAGTGCTAGGTGGTGGCGCGCTGGGGCGCCGACAATGGAACCACCGCGTCGCCGTTCATCACCAGCATGACATTAGGTTCGCCAGCGAAAAACTTTCTGAGTCTCGCACCTGAGGCCGCACCTCCAGCCAACCAGCCACCCATTCACGTTCACCATCACAGCCGCCGCCAACAACTCCAGCTTCAGTTTCTTCAGGCAACTGTGGCACTCCGCCGGGGACAGGTCCGGGTCGCATTGGACCATTGAGTAGAGGGATTCGCTCCTCACCAATTGACCGGTGCCGAAGTAAACTCTCGACAACGGAGCGGCCGCCTTGCCGACAACGTAGCTCACCGTAGCGTTCAGCAGTTGCGCGGCGGCGCTGATGGTGGAGCGGTGTTGATACCGACGTTGAGGATGACACGCATCAAGCCGCTGTTGTTCGAAGAGGCAAGGAAATCTTTTGCCGCGACGAATGTAGCCAAGGGCGGATCTTAGGGGTGGCTCCAGCCCCCCTAAAAGCTGGTGGATCAATGAAAATATAAGGAGGGTGAGGGAGAAGAAGAGGTGGAGGAAAGAAGAAAAATGAAGAGAGAGGGGAAGAAGAAGAGACCAGTCCCCCTTCAATTATGTTCTGCATCCGCCGCTGACCACCACCACCAGGCATGACCGGCGGCGTGTGGATCACGTGAATAGGCGACCACAGCGCCATGTTCGCACCGGGACGGCGTGGTCGATGAGAGCTGCGGCGGTCGTGAGTTCGTGACCTGTCGATCTGTGACGTTTACCCCCGGGGAAAACGATCTCCTTTTCCTGTCCGCTTCCTCGGAAATGCTCCGGGCCTTTCCTGAAAAGCTAAACGGCACGATAGATCTTGAGAGAAAGCCAGAACGCTCTTGGAATTCTTGTCACGGTCTTGGATCTGCACGATAGGTCTTGGATGTACGGTTCGGCGTTGTTGTCGTGCCGTCACGGTCTTGGGATTCCATCCTGAACATGGAGACCTCGCCCGTCAGTATCATCACTCATCAGCAACACAAGGGCAATCAGAAACTTGCAGAGGCTAATCTGACGCAGGAAGTCGCCAGTAATGTCGCAATGGCGTTCCTCTGCATTAGGGACTTCCAGAGGCTAATCTGACGCAGGAAGTCGCCAGCAATGTCGCAATGGCGTTCCACTGCATTAGGGGAGTATCAGATGAGTTCACAACATACAGCAATCGCTGTCACATTTGAAAACGCAATCATATTCCCATTTGAAATACAGATGCTTCAGTTCCATATCCAAAATTGGCAAACAGCAGTCCAAGGCCTCGGAAATCGGAATGTACGAGTTACAAGGCCAACGGCTGTACTTCCAGATTATGTAAAAGAACGCATTGCCAGATAGATGAAAAAAAAATTCTCAATATTTCCGCGCCAAGGAAAACCTCTGTACATGTCGCATGACTATCACCACAATTCAGGTCTACAGTTCATAATTACACAAGCTGGGGGGCACAATTTATTTTATTACTGAGTCGGTATACGGCAATTGAGAAAGTCGACCATGCTTGTTAAAACTACAGCAGAATAAACGAGTGGACGATGTGGCCCAACCCGTTTAGTTTCTCCACTAAGCATCACAACATGTGACCAATATTGCTCCTCCAAGTGTACGATGCCCATTCAGCACACCTTGGGCTTGGTTTGTAGGACTGCAATCTAAAAGACCTATCCAGTTTGCTCCAACATGGATCCAGGGCCAGGTAGCAAAGAAAAATTCACCAGTTGTTTTAGCTATGTCACAATGCATTCCCTGGGATCAGAGTTTTCCCTTTGGCTCCTTTCCGCATCGCCAAATCCAATGTAGAAAGCCTCATCATCATCAGTGGCCAAATCTGCACTAGCTGATTCATTCTCCATATGCAGGTCAGACTGTCTCCTATGTAACCTCAACACATGCATGATGACATCAGATGAAAGTGTCACTTCTGCTCGAGAAGCATCAACTTCTCTCCCACGTTCATTAGAGGCTATTATCTGTTAAGAAATTAAACGAATACAATGTCAGAAGTAAAATGGGTGGAAATGTATCAAGTACAACTCCATAACCACTGGTACTTGCATTAGTAGAAAGTAGAAACAACTTACTTGCTTTGCATTTTTAGGCAGTGACATCACTTTTTTTTATGCAGGAGTCCAAAGCTTAACAGTTTTATCAATCCCACTAGTAGCCATGAACGGGAAATGCGGGTGGGGCTCAATGCAGTTAACTACACTTTTGTCACCATTCATCATCCTCATCAATTCACCTCCCTTCTTCCTCCATATGAATACATTCCCGCAATCTGATCCACTCACAACATATTCATCATGTGGTCCAAAGAAACTGACTCCCTTAACAGTTCGAAAATTCCTGTGACCTGAGTATACTTGTGGCTGATCAAACATGTCGAAAAACTCTGGCTCTACTAACACAGGATTTGGACCAAGACCCATATTTTGTTGGAACAAGTAGATAAGCTCATCATTGTAGGATACAAGTATCTCCCTTGCATAGGAATATGCAATGCTGGTGATGTGGACCTTCCCACCCTTAATAAGGTGCTTAGGGCAGAAGGTATCTACAGGCTGGTTAATGTTTCTTGAATCATCCAACTGGAATCTCCTCATGTCATACAACCGTACATGTACATACTCATCAAAACCACCAATTGAAAAATAGTAAGGGTTCTGCGGGTCAATGGCAATGCTATTCAGTCTTACACGGCGTCTGTCATTCAAGAAAGAATAGCAGGTGAAAAGCTTTGTTGCTGAATCGCTTCTTAAGTCAAACTGTAGGGGGGACAAGTTAATCCCACTGCACTAATAGCGTATATTAGCATATAGTGGCCTAGTGACATACATGCTGTACCAAACCATCCTCTCCACAACTGTAAAATATGTAAGGGCTTCCTGGTCCAATAGCCATCTTATGCACCCGGGAATCGTGCTCCCCAACTAGTTTCGTTGTGACTTCACCGCCCTCCTTCAGTCGTCCTACTCGTACCTGGGAGGCAGAAGTGGTTTATTTGGTTGCAATGAAGAGAAAAATATCCATGATGCTTTAGCATGGAGTAGAAGGAGCTGGTAGCCAGTCAAATCATTTCCAATATGGTACTAAGTAGAAAGAAAATAGAAAAGTAGGCAATGCCAAGCTTACTTCAAAATATTATGTACTGCAAGAAACGGTGCTAGTCAAGCAACACAAATGCTTCAGGACACGGTCACAAAGATGCATGCAAGCATTTGTGGGATAATTTCCACAACAACAAAGTTTTAATTATGTATAGCCCTAACTTTTGAAAGCGCTGCTCCAGTGAAGACAAAAGATATTCGAATCTAAAAGCCTGAGAGAAAAAAGAAGTTTCTGTAGTTTGCCTTTGTGTTTTTCGTGAAGGATCTTTTGTATGCTGAGATAAGGGTATAGATGGTGTTCCATGCATGGAATAATAGTTGCCATCATGCCACCTAGATTAAAAAACAAATTACCTAGAACCACGGCAGAAGCTCAACATGGTTTACAAATGTGTTGCATAAGTTACTTAGACTCGCAAGGCGGATGAACGGTATTCTACATACAGTTGTCTTTCTCATAATAATTTATTACGATGTTCTGTGCAATGACCTCAGTCTCTTTACACATGGTTCACGTGCCAGGAAATAAATCATGGTAATAAGCTCCTTGAACTTGTTCACAGCTTATCAAACAGATAAAAAAAATGTAATGTATCCATCCAAATCATTGTTGGTAGAGACAAACCTGGCCATCAGCAGCAACAGTTACGATGGTGCTGTCATCAGTAAATGGCATCACACGAGCATGGAAGACATTTTCGTGGTGGCCGGAAGGGTAAACAAGTTTTATAGTTTTAGAAAGCCAGTCCCATAGAATGATGTCCGTGTCGTCTGAACCGGACACAAGGAGGTCACCAGCAGGGCAGCAGGGTTGAAGCTTATGGTATTAACGCAGCCTTCATGACCACACAATTTTCCATACTGAGACATCCGCAGCATTATATGCTACTCCCTCGAAGAAAACGAAAATGACAAGCAGTTAGCACCGCATCTAAGAACAGTGATTCAAGCCAACTCAGCATTGTAGACAGAAACAGTTATATAGCAAAACTACCACAAAAACCATCATCATAATCTGTAATATAACTAGAGTTGGATCACCTTTGTAACACATGTGATCCAATAAGACATTTGTCAAGCTTGAAAAGAAACACTACGGAGAGAAACTAGCCAACTAGTAGATATCGAACTTGAACAAAATGTATAAATCTTATCCCCCATGTCACAAATTTCATCAGTAGTAAAACTGTGTCTAATCTATAGACCCAGACAGCAGGCAGTCTTATTCGGACGCTTAAATTTGAGATTTTGCAGTACTAGTTCCATAAATTCCCAAAATGAAGTTTCTGAACGGATACAGACAAGCTCAACACCACATCAAGAACAGAACCTACCCACCAGCCATCGTACTCTACCCGACCGCCAGATATGTGAAACCCTACACCTTGTCTTCCAAAGTCCACCCAGCAGACATGGTCGAATCATCTACCGACTAGGAGATACCAAACTCCGGAAGGATTCCAAAGTTCGAAGTACCAGGATCAAACAGAAATTAACAGAGAAGAAAAGAACCTCGGAGCCGCTGATTCGGCGGGAAGAGGCGCGGGGGAAGGAGGAGCCGATCTCGCGGCGGCCGACTTCCAAGAAGCAGCTACCCTTCCGGCCACCAGCTGCTTCGAAGGCGGCAGCCATGGTGAGCGGTGGAATGCGAGAAGAGAGAGGGGAGGGGTTGGGGATTTTGCGGGGTTTAAAAGTGGTAGAATCTGCTGGTCGAGGCACGGGGATGGTTCTGGCTTTCTGGGAGACTGACTTGGGCCTCCGTCATGTATGCTTTTACGTTTTCCGTTTGTTATCTTTTCTTTTTCCATTCCAAATCTAAAAGGCAGGGGAGAGAGAGAGGGTTCAGGCCGATCAGATGGCGGAGACGGCGGGAGAGAACGTTAAAGTTCTGGTGCCATATGAGGCGGCCGGGTCAAGGCGGGGGCGCCCATGACCATGGTGGCGGCGGGAGGGGAAGAAGGAGGTCGTCGCGGGGCGGTGGGCAGCGGCGAGGGCGAGGACGAGGACGAGGAGAAGGGCAGGGCCAGGAGATGGGCGGCGTGGCCAACGGTAGGAGAGGAAGGCAGGGGTGGGCGCGCCAGGAGGAAGAAGTGTGAGTTTCATATGCTAATTGCACGGTCATCCGTGCATTATCCGCGTCCAATATAAATTTAAAGAAAAAGACTTTTGGAAAAAAAAAACGACACCGGGTGCTCCCTTTTCTTGGACCCTTCCTCCGTGCACCGGATTTTCTTTCACTTAATCTTCACTTCTCTCTATTTTTCCAGCAAAATTTAGAACAGTGACATCAAACTTCTCCAACAAAATTTTGAAACTTAAACTAGCTAAAATACATTTTAAATTCCACTCTTAATTGCTAGTTTAAGCATATCAAATAGTGAAAACACAGATCCAATTCACCATCGCATACATCTATATATTCTTTGGCCCTTGTTGCTCCATTATGGGCTTATGGCTATCAGTGCCCAGTGGAGTACAAAACAAGATTATAATTAATTTGGCACATGGCACAGTTTTCTTAATTTAGAATAGCCTTATTCATCTCCTCAATTGTACGTACTAATCTAGACACAAGCTTTTCCTTCTTTTTTTGCAAATTACACAAGTACAGAGATAAAAACTCAACATGTATGCACACTCACCCCTATTAACACGCGTACGCAAACCTTACCCCTATGAGTACCTCCGAAAGACTGTGCCGGCACATCTCGAGATTGATGAAGTTACCACAGGCGTCTCGCTGTCGACGAGAACATTGCCTACCACTGAAAGCATAACGTCGTTAAATCTTAGAATAAATCCAGAAAAATACAAGCACCCGTGCCAAGTCGATGACTTAAACCCGGGTGATTAGGTTCCACCATAAGGAACCTAACCAACTTACGGTAAAAAAAATATAGAATGTGATTGGCCTATTTCAATGTATATATAATTCTTGTTGTGATAGTAATTGTGATAGTGTCATGGTGAGCCTGAAATGTTGTTGGCGATAAAGAAATGTTTTAGATAAAAGTTATGTGTACACAACATGGTTACCTGTACAATTACAATACAAATTACCGCAACAAATTGATGCTATGAATTTTCCTGATTTTTGTAGAAACTCTCTAAAGAGATAATTTAATTGGCTCATTTTCTTGTCAAGCTGTTAGCTGTCGTCACTAGAAGACATCTGTACATGTGACAACCTTGTTACTATCGTGTAGCAAGCCTACTATAAGCGTGTCGGATGCGGACTTCGCGACCATCTTCCTATGCAACAAAAGCTTCGCACTTGAGTGCGTTCAATATATAGAGAGGCCTTTTTTTAAGAGGACTTGCAACAAAATCGATGGCGTGAGTTTTAACTGGTACAGACATGCAGGGCCCTTTTTGTTTTTTAAAGAAAAAAGAGATAAGACTTAGCTGCCAAAACCAAACATATAAGGGTTTATTTGGCTCGCGATCTTACTCATCACTGGTATACACATCGGTCACGTGGGGATGCATATTACTTGACTATGACCCAAAGAAAAGAAAAAAAACTCATCAATAAATCTCTATATCTACTTAGGCTTGTTTGAGACTCCTTCACTCTATCTCCGCTCCACCAACTATATCACGTAACGGCTCCACTCTAAAGTTGATCTTTCATCATGGAGCAGTGTTCGGCTGAGACCTCACTTCTAGTTCCAGAAATTGTTGGTTTTGATGATAAAGATCATTTTATGCCCCTGAATTTTTGTTGTTGTTGGTACTCTTATATTATCAACTTGCTTGAATTTAGCACGGTGTGCAAAATTAACCGAAAGGGGTGAAAACTTGATACTATGCTAAAACTTGTAAGTTAAGGATCACGAATTAGTAAGCTCTCTGCAAGAATAGACCACTAGACAAATAGCCACAATATAACCGTTAGAGTTGTCCTAATTAGTCAGGTAAGTCTTACTAAGTACATTGAGTACTAAGGATTTACCCTTAGCTTGTTGCGGGCAAAAATTCGAATGGAGAAGCCACGAGTCAGAAGTGAGCCGAATGCTAGCTCGATTGGTCCAGACTCAGGTGCTTACTAGACTGACTTATCTTATGTATGTGGGAAACATCTAGTAGGGGCACATGGTACCCTAACTTACTTTCTTTGGTGTTATCGTAGCTACGTATGTCCGAGTCCAGTGAACATTTTAGTAGTTCTAAAGTTCTTTGTATTTTATGCTCGGCCTCTATTAAATCCTTGATGTAAAACTTTTGTTTCAGCTACTCTTATACTATTACTCTTCCAATGAATCTCTTAATTGTAAGCTTATGTTCAAATTACTTTATTATATATGGTCTGATACAAGTTTTTATTGGAAAAGCTTTGTAAAAAAATTATGGATGCGGTCTTAAAAGTGAGAAAGCATGAAAATTTTAGTTCTTCCCACGTGATGCCCTAACAAACTATCACGTTTGACTTGGATAAAACGTGTTTAATGCCCATAGACGATGTACACAATTAATGTTAAACCGGATCGTTCTGCCACATAATTTGAGATTATGACAGTTCTTAGATTCTTGGGTGTCGGATGCGGATGCGTGGATGCTCCACCCGGTTTCGACTCGCCATATTACCGTCATTCATGGTGATGGGTCATTGCGCCGTTGCAATTTGACATGTTAGGATGTGTTTGCTAGAGATTCTTTACCAGCTTCACAGCTTCTCTTACCAAAAAGTCTAGATGGAATAACTTTTCACTAAAAAAAACTGTTTTAAGCTCCTTTCACATACACAATTCTCTAGGTGAAGCTGAAAATACTAGTTTCTCCTAGCTTTCTCTCTACTATCTTCCCTGGAAAACTGTTTTACCAAACGTTTATGAAAATATATTTAGCTCTACCAGTAAATCTGCTTTTGGAATGAAAGCCAAACTAATTCACTAACGAAGCTGAGCTATACCAAACGTGTCCTTATTTGGAAGGCATGTTGATCTCGCCGCTCTCGCTCGGTCGTTTAACGTGGCAACTAGCAAAGTGGCAGGCCGCGCCATGCCAGCAACCAAGCGAAAATAAGCCGTAACCCGTAAGCACTGCCGGTGTCATTCTGCTTGCAGCAAGCCACGAGGCTCCGCGCGTACACAGGGTGGTACGAAGCTCGCGCGTGGCTCGCTCAGTCGCTCGGCTGGCTGCTGCCGCTCCAGCAGCCCTGCACGAACACCGTCCCGTTCGAGTGTTCGACAAACAAACGTGGCCGGATGCTCCAAGTGCGGCCGCCGGCCGGCCGGCAATGTGGTGCGGTTTCCACATGGAAGTGATGTTAACGCTGCTCCTGTTGGGGAATTGCGCCAGTGACATACTGCGTACCGCATGAGAACATGGCCGAGCTGTTGGCGGGGTCACGGCGCTGGCTATCTCGGGTGGCCGGTGTTGACCCGGCAATAATGCGACCAAAATGCTCTCTTGTCCTGACGTGACCGCTGGGTGCCAAGCCGGTGGCTAACAACTAATAAAGCCGGTGATGATATGATTCAGTCACGCACCCATACGCTGTCACTTCAAATTCAAGTGGTTCATTATAATCTCTAGAGTTGTCACACGATGCAAGCATTCGTACTGAATTTGGAACTTGAATCCGCTCAAACAAGTTGTACGGTAAGGACCTGAATCTCTGCGCTGGGAAGTCGGTCTTCTTCACATATGACAACACAGGGCTCTCGGGCTGCCTCTTGTTCGGTTTTTGTCATTTATTATTATTACTCCAAGTGTTTCAATAAAAATACACTGCTAGCTACAGTGTTAAGGCAAGCTATTCATTTGACCATTTTTTTCAAAGGAAAAAAACAATATTTACGATAGAAAATAAGTGCTATTAGATTTGTGGCGGAATATATTTTTATAGGACACCACAAAAAATCAGAACACCATATTCAAATGTCAATAGACAAACATATGACTGAATAACTCCCAGATATCTCCTTCTGAACATCAGCAGATTCCAGTTTCTGGTTTCTCAATACACCCACTGCTAGAAAATGAACCAGTTGGGCAAACCATTTGATTTTAGCAGCAGCTTTGCATGCAGAACAATTTATGCTTATTTTGAGGATTTCCAGTAACATGATGATCAGTAAAATAATATACTAAAAAAAATCAACAAGCAAACAGGAAACGACACAACAAAGGATTAAATACAGATGGTGCTGCTAATAGACCAGTAATAAAAGAAACTAAAAATAAACAATATTATGCCAATACCACATGGACGCCACCAAATCAAACAGATGTTCTAAATGAATAAACAGGCCAACATGGAAGGCCTCAAAATTTGCCTTCGACATATATACCAAGATAGCAGAGACTAAACAGAGCACATGCATATATTAATCATGATAACCAAAAATGTTCACTAGTTGCAAAGCAACACAAACGAAGCAGCAAGAAAAAAACAATCAAAGCACACACCTAGATCATTTCTTACTGTGAAATTACCTTTCACATTCTGAAATTAGTGGCACACAAATAAAGAAAGCAAGAGCCACAAGATCTACATGATTCCATTATATAGCTATACAAACTAAAACTCTTAAAAACAAGCCCAGAATGAACTATATTAATCTATAATAATTGTCTGCACTCAGCTGACAAACTTGGTTTAGGATTGCTTCAACCAGTAATCCAGGTTGGCTCAAGCATATTCACAAACCTAAAGCGAAGTTCACGTTCCACTTAAATCAACACACCAAAGGCTAAATAAAATTTGTAGTGAAAAAATGAGGTGGCTAATGCTAGATTCGTGGTCACATCGCAACGCATCTTTATAATGCTGTTCAGCTAACAACAGTAAGGCTGCGTCCCACTTAGACACCACAACCATGCAAAAACATCCATCACAAAACTAACTAGGCTTATCATAAAGGAGAAAGGCAGAAAGCAAGAGAGAAAGGCAACAGATAACAAATGAAAAAAAAATTACCCTTAATCATTACATCATGTATTTTTTTCCATCTACACAGCACACTGGAAAAGAAAAGAACTTTGAAAAAACAGACAAAAAGTACGACAGATTAACACCTACAAATCTATGAGACAACCCTAGGTAAGCTGGTATATCTGCAACGTGATAAGAAAAAAGGTACCTAATGCTGGTTGTGGACTGACTATCGCATTCTTCCACAAGGATATGATTATTGTGATATCCTACTTTATTTAGAAAAATCTAATCTGAGCCAACCTCCACACCTTCAGTTCATCTCACAAATATCATTGTGACAATATGCATCTTGAGCATAAGACGCCAGCATGTCCTACTTGAACCGCAAACAAAAATTCCAATGATGTTAAGCATTAGCAATATATAAAATATATATATCTGTGAGCTCTTCATCAAAGATTTTTCAATGCACACATCAACTACCAAAAATGAGAGACTAGTTACTGTTTGTCAGTAGAAAATTGTGCAGAAACAAAATGAAAAACATTAGGTTCACAGAACAATTCACAGCACCTCCATTATACCTGATATTCATCAAGTGCTAAAAACTCTGGCTGCCTGTGCCAAGCTGTCACGACAACTGTCAAACAACTTAGGTGAAGACATAAGATAGAAAAGCATGACAGATTCATCAGAAGATACCAAACATGCATTTTAATTTTTGAAGTTATACCAACCAGCACGGGGCAGCACGCTTTTCTGCTCCAGATGGAGAGGAGTACTAGCACTACCAAATCAAGATGAAGAACAATATATATCAATAATAAAGTGAGATTAACACAGTCACAAAGAACAGAGCATTAAAGTGACATCACAGGGTAATCTCAAATAATAACAAGAAAAGATATCATAACAAAAGCATTAGTAAAAGGTTCCTTAAAATAGTTCAAGGAGATAAGCAAATATCCCGATGCTAGCTGAGCCAGTAATATTTGATGCCTTCTTAAGCATGCAACCTCTGCAATGGTCACAACAGCACACAGCAAGGTTAAGATGTGAGTCCCAAACTTCCAACAAGAAATAAATCAGGTTGGTATAAGCTCCAAGAAAGATCAAGCCTGTCAACAAGTCGAGACAACATAGAAAAGGTGAGGTCTAATTAGTAAACCGAGCACTGCATGTTATGGAAAAAAAGAGGGGGGCAGCATAAAGCAAATTAAAAAGAATTTTGTATAAACTGAAGGGCCTTAGAAAGTGCATCAGATATCAGATCCCCCAAAAATATCCAGGCATTCTCAATAAAATAATCTGATAATATCATATCCTATCCTATCAAAAGCAAATGTTGTTCCTTACCATCCTAGACAAGCATGAGCATGTTAGTCCTGACCTCATTCTAAATATTAAGTTGCATGCACCGACCAATTCAACCCAAAAGCTTAAGCTGATGGGGAAAGGTGGGCAGTTCACTTATATTCCAACACTCCCCCTCACGTGGAGGCTCCCTCAGACCTCAGACGTGTAATAGGAGCGAGCAGCAATTATTTTATTTAATTGCGCTAACCAGGATTCGAACTCGAGACCTCTGGCTCTGATACCATATTAAGTTGCATGCAACGACCAATTCAACCCAAAAGCTTAAGCTGATGGGGAAAGGTGGGCAATTCACTTATATTCCAACACTAAAAATAAGATATTATCATAAATAATCATCCTCAATGAGATGATACATGTGTTTGGTTTAGTAAAAAAAAAACAATACCTCTAGCAAAAGGATGAAAATCCATAAAACCAAAAGATACTGAAAGAAGAAAAATAACTATGGCACAATATAGACTCCATGAAACTTTTGCAGTGTAGACTCATTAAATCAAAACCAAACAATGGGTAAGATATAACTATATGGTACATCAGCACAATGGTCAAATTTAAGTATAGTAGTATATATAGTATACAACAACAACAACAACAACAAAGCCTTTAAGTCCCAAACAAGTTGGGGTATGCTAGAGTTGAAACCCAGCAGAAGCAATCAAGGTTCAGGCACGTGAATAGCTGTTTTAAGTATAGTAGTATATAGCACATGAAATTTAAGTATAGTAGTATATATAGTATATAATATATAAATAATAAAACACACGAATAACTGAAACATGAGTTTCCTTGTCAATAAAATAGCAAATCATACCCAATTGTACCTAACAAAATTAATAGAACAGAGAGAGTATCATGTTAAGTTACCTTTTGCCCTTCATTGGAAGAATCGCCCAGTTTCGCTCATATCACTTCATCTCTGACATAAACTTGTCATACTCTGCATCGGCACCATAGGAAGCAGTAGGCTGGTCAGTTGTGGAGGACAAAGGTGGTGGTGGTGGCGGCACTGCACTGTGGGTTGCCCAAGGTGCAGTTGCAATACTCTGAGAGGGATCAACACTAGCCGGTGGTGGTGGAGGTGGTGGCTGAAATGGTGATGGATAGTATGGGGAATAACTATAAGGTGGTGGAGGGTACATCGATGGTGCATTTGGTGCGCCAGATGATGCATATACTGATGTTGCAACAGGGTGGGTGGGTGCGCCAGAACTTGGTGGTGTTACACCAGGGGGATAGTTCTGAGCTCCATCACTTGATGGAGCAGTGCCTGGTGGAGGGATCGGAGCTGCTGGGGGTGGTGGTGGTGGTGGTGGATATTGCACCCCATATGGAGGTGGGGCAGCTTGACCTGGTGCAGGGGGTACAGGATTGTAGACGCTAGAGCCTGGTGGTGGCGGAGGATATGAACCATATGGTGGTGGCTGCCCCCAAGGAACTGGAGCATAACTCCCTGGAGGAGGTGGCGGTGGTGCCCCCATGTAGGACTGGGAGGAATAGCCACCTGAAGTAGGATCCGAAGGAGGAGGATAAGATGGGGGTGCTGACGCTGCTGGTGCCGGCTGTGGCGGCTTTCCTGCAACTCTAACCGCAATAACTCTCCCTTCAAGATGGTGACCATTCATTGCAGCAATCGCTGCATTGGCCTGTGACACATCTGAATACTTGACAAATCCATATCCTTTGCTCTGTCCAGTGTTTCGATCCTTTATCACCTTAGCCATTACAATATCCCCAAATTGCGAAAACAGACTGACTAGTCCAGCATCATCCATTGTAGGTGGCAGGTAGCCAATATACAGATTTGTCTCGTCATAGTCCTTCTTGATACCATTGAGCCCAGTGGCAGCAGCACCACCACTGGTTGACCAAGGCGGGTTACTCCCAGTTCCAGCAGAAGCACCACCACTACCACCACTTCCTGTGAGAGCCAACATTGGACCACCAGATTTGTTCATGGACTCAGGTGCACTCCCACCACCAAGCTCAGCCAGGAAGTTCTGGTATTCATCATCCATCTTCTTCCCAGAAGTGCCCTTGACCGGGCAATCAATAGTCGGGTGCCCACCATCCCCGCAGATCTTGCACTGCACATCACTCTTAAACGTGTTCATCTTGTTGGGGCAAGCATACTGCCTGTGACCAGCCTCACCACATGTCCTACAAAACTCGTCGTCCCTAATTGTTCCATTAAGCGCAGCAAGCTCCCGGAGCTGCTGCCGCTTGTGCTCATTGAGCACCTCATCCACCGGGGTGAGCAGCTTCTCCACCATACCAGCAGCCGCGTCCAGTGCCTCCTGCGTGTCTGCCTCAACAAGCACGTGGAGGTCTTCGTTCTCGCTGGGATCCGGCTTGAGGTCCCTCTTCTGCAGCAGCTTCCCTTCCTTGACACTACCCTTCCCCCTGATGACAATCTTAGCACCAGTCTCCTTCTCCATGCGCTTCTGCGTGTTGCCACGAGGGCCAATGATGAGGCCGATAAAGTTGTAGCCAGGGTACTCCTTCATGGGGATGTAGAGCTTCTTCTGGAGCTTGGGTGGGCGGTAGTCGGAGGGGGGCTTGAAGGCGGGGTTGCGGCGGATGAGCTGCGAGATGATCTCCTGCCTCTCGCGATTGAGGCGCTCCCTGGCGCGGTATTCGCGGGTGTTGATGCGGATGCCGAGGTTGTCGTAGACGGGCTCGGGGGAGGGCGAGCGCGCGCCCTCGGGGCGGTCGTCGAGCGGGAGGCCCGACTGCAGCAGGCGCGAGATCTCGAGGAGGCGCGCGTTGAGGGCGTGCACCTCGGGGTCCATCTCGGCGGCGAAGTCCTTCATGAAGTCCGGGAGCGCGATGGCCGGGCGCGGCTCCTCCTCGGCCCATCGCGTCTTGCGCTTCCGGCCCCCGGTCCCGCCCTCGCCGCCGGAGTTGTTGGCGGCGGAGTCGTCGTTGGACTGCTCCCAGCGGCTGCGGCGGCGGCGGCGGGACGAGTCTCCGGCGCCCGCGCCGGAGCCATCGCCGTTGTGGTGTGGCTCGGAAGAGGCGGCGCGGGGCGGGTCGGAGGAGGGCTCGCGCGAGGGGGAGCGGGCTAGGGTTTCGGCGGAAGCCATGGCTACGGCTGCGCTGAGGGGAGGCGGGGTGGGGAGAGCCGTCTCGAATTGGACTAGCTCTTTTTTTTTTGGAGGGGAAAAGATCGATGAAGAATTCGGGATTTCGGGGATGCGTGCGCTCTTGTCGTTGCGCCCTCGCTGCCGCCCGCTCTTCCCTGCAACCTGCATCGAGAAGGGCCGAACGGACTTCGACGTCTTCTGATCCACTGACACTAGGCACTTTCGTGGGTCGAAAGAGGGGCCTATTAGGGTCGTTTATATGGGCCGGTTCGCACGGAACCGTCGGGCCGAACCGCACCATCCCCAGGCTTGCACTAAAAAAAGAGTGGGGCTTCGAGCCAGAGGCAGGCAGGAGAGGCGCCTGAGAGTCTGAGACTGATCTCGAACCGCGCCAAGCCCACAGAGTAGAGTCACGAAGAGAGGAGGGAGAACCTAGAATTTCTTTTTTTTTTCTCAAACACGCAAAAGCTTTGCATATCATTGTATTATGTAGAAGAATTTAAGCAAACATACAACGCGCTTGTATCGAAGCGCCGTAGGAGGTCAACCTAACACAGCCGTAGCCGGACCGTCCTAGCAAGAACCTCTAGACTCGATATTACATTAAAGGAATCAACCAATACCTATACAACGGTGCGACCTAGGAGGTAGCCTTGCGTCTTCGCGACTGCCTGGACACAGCCGGGAAGAGCTTGTCAAGCGCTTCGGCCTCAGACGCAGTCAGGTCGCCGCCAAAGAGCTTCTCATAGGCCTCCAGCTCCGACACGGATGGCGCTGATGGACCCTTAGTGAAGCCCATGCGCTGCATGATCAGCACCTCGCCTCGCTTGGAAGCGGTACTCGAGAGAGGGGCTAAGCCTCCAACCGCCTGCTCCGCCGCGGTGTCATTGGCTTAGCAGAAGGTTGCATTGGAGGCTCACGAATCAGTGGAGAGCCCCTCTTACGCGTCACTTCGTTGACGAAGCTATCGAGACGGCGTTTGGCGGAGTTGTCGTTGTCCTTAGCTGGGTGGGTATCCACCGGCGGTGAGCTGGGAGGGGGTGAGTCCACCGCCCAGTGAATGGGCACGCGGAGGTGGTGTCCACCGGACACCACTGCCGCTGGGTCCTCATCCTCCAGCTAGGTGGCCGCCACTACCGGGGCCTCATCTTGTGGTTGGGGGACCACCGGTGGTGACAACAGGCGCTCAAGAGAAGGCCAAGCGACGATCCGACTGCTGGCGAGCGAGGCAGCGAACTCCTCCAACATTGGGTCCTCCGTGATGTCGCGACCATGCGTAGCGTCCGGGTACAACGTCAGCGCCAACGGGTCAGGATGGACAATGTCTGTCTCGCTGGGCAGCTCACCGTGCCCAGGATGAGCTTCAGCAGCAATCGAGGTGAAGGCCGGTGCTGTCAGTGCGGCCCCTACCGACCGCCTATGACGCCTCCATCTTCGGCGCCGCCTCCGCCTTCGGCGCCGGCGACCGCCGATGGCAGGAACGGCGCTGCCCGACTTGACCCCACCAGAGTCTTGCGAACCATCATGGTCCGCCGGCCCAGTGGAGCATGCGTTACGGGTGCCACGGAGAGGGTGTTGCGGCTAGCGACCCATGGCTCTTTCATCGCCCGAGCTCCGAGAGCCCAATCGCCTTGGCCGCTTGCAGTCGCGCGCAATGTGTCGAAATCCCCTGCACCGCAGACATCGTTGAGGCAGCTTGCAGGTTGCCACCCGATGCGCGGAGGAGAGGCAATTGAGGCACTTGCCGAGAAGATCTGTCGGGATGGGCCTCGGTGGTCAATGACTCGCTGGCTGGCCTCCGCCTGCTGGCCCTCGTGGCTCAGGCAAGGCGGCCGCATGCACGTCTCCTGCCGGTGGAGGATCTCCCTCCACCCATCAGCGTTGGGGGCGGAGACCCGTCCGCGACATCCGAGGCGCTGGCGAGCGGGAATGCGACCCTCTGTTGGCCGAGGCGACATGCTGAATAGCAGTTGTGGGCGCAGTCGACTGCATTTTCCCTGCCCTCACCCATCACCCTGACGACCCGCCGCCGCACCACCACGGCCCTACGTCAGAGGTGGGGCGCGCGGCGGGGACATCACAGGCAGCGTCAACGTCCCCAGCGGCTGCGGCTCCCGACGAACCGTGTCCAGGTAGGGGGTCGTGGAGGTGGTTAGCATCACTTCCACATCAAAGTCATCGAGGACGTCGCCGTCGTCCGCCCAACGACGGGCCTTGGAGCGTCCTGCCGCGCTACCCCTAGGATGGAAGGGGGTGGCTTCGGGTGATAAGGTGGACGACGGGCTCGGAGCGGGGACGGATAGGTGAACGAGGAAGGCCTCGAGGTCGGATCTGCCAGGGGCGCGCTTCGCTTCTCTTCGCAAGCCGGCAATTTGTGGCGATAAGGAGGCACCGGCATTGGCTGCAGCAGCCATGCAGCAGCGGGGTCCGCGGGGGCTCTGTGGCCCGTCGACAAAGAGCGTGAAGGGCTCGCCGTCTTCCTGCTTGACGACATCCGTGCCGGAAGCCGCCAACCTATAATTTCCATTCATGGATTGACAAGAAGTCAAGATGAACAGCCTGATCCAACCGGGCAGCGGCATAGCCTGCACGAAAAAGCCTCCGACACCTGCAGCCTAGCTAGCTCGGAAACAGATCAGCATCAGTACTCGCCATCCGCCACATACCGTGCTTTCTTCCGGGATCTTCAGAGCTGCTGGGAGCCAAGGAGTTGTGGCAAACAAGAGCGCTGCCAAAAGGTCAAGCTCTTCTTATGGCTCGCAATTCACAACGTGCACTGGTAGAAAACAGAGCTTTACTCCCGGTGAGGAACCCCCTCTAGTCCCGGTTCCCCACCCGGGAGTAAGCATCCGGGACTAAAGGGGGTCCTTTAGTCTCGGGTTAGGAACCGGGACTAAAGGAGGACCTTTAGTCCCGGTTCCCGGGTCAGGAACCGGGACTAAAGGAGGGTAATACCAACCGGGACTAAAGGTCCTCCTAGCTTTAAAAAAAATAATGCCTCCCACCGCTGCGTCCCGTGAGATTCGAACCCAAGACCCCATGCATTGCCTCGCGCGTAGCTTACCACCCCACCTACACAACACATCTAACCAACCGGGACTAAAGGGTCTACCTTTAGTCCTGGTTTTAGTCCCGGTTGGTGGCTCCAACCGGAAGTAAAGGTCCACCTTTAGTCCCGGTTTATGTCTCCAACCGGAACTAAAGGTCCTGGGCAGGGATTAGAGCCCATTTTAGTATCGGATGAAAGATCTGTTCTCTAGTAGTGGTGCTGACTATGGAGGTATGGTTCGGGTTCTGCAACCAATTGGGCTACATCAGCTTATGGCGGACATGGGTGAGGATCTAGTCGATTGGTGGCTGCATGCTAGGTTCGGCGCAGCGAGCAGGGTTTGATTCGCTGGTGCTTCTCGTCTTCTGGAAATTTTTGGAACGCAATGCCAGGGTTTTCAGTAGCGTGGTCACTGCGCCTGTGGCTGTCGCGCAACGTATCTTCTCCGAGGGGTGGGCAGTGGATTGACGTTGGTTTCTCTAGTGTGGTAGCGTCTTAGCGTTCCTGTCCAGTGCGGAAGTAGTCGCAGAATCGACCGCCGTATAGTCGCTTTTGTAATTGCTCTCTGAGGGCTGTTAGCCTTGGTAACGAGATCGCTTGCCACTCGCAAACGATTGGATGTAGCAGGCCTAACAACTAGTTGTACCAAAAACTCATGTCGTCTTAATGAAATACAGGTCCAATCCGGTTCCCGAAAGAAAGAGAAACAGATCGACACCAACCATTTGCTTAGCCCTCGCTCATTTGTCTACACATACCGATCCTTGCAGCAGGCTCCCTCCAGACATGTCTACGTACTTCTACTTGTTTATTCTTCTTTTTCTCGTACCGGCCAGCCGTGGTGCAAGCGTGCGGTCGTGCACCCACACTACCAACGCTATGTGTACTGGTGGATCGTCGATGGCCGAACGTGGCAGGGAGTACTGATCGACATATATAGGTGGGGGGCCTCAAAACGGCACCCATTTGCATTGCTTATATATGCATTCCAACGTGGTGGCCTGAATCGATCGGCGCAGACATGCGTACATCAAAGTATATATATGAGAGAAGTAGGGACAGATGGTCGATCTCCAGATGGATGCCTTCTCACGTCCATTATGCCTGCCGGCCAGCTTGCATTGCTCACACATGTGCACCCCTCTGGTACGTGATCGATGGGGCTAAAAGTCTAGACGACACCGTACCGGCCAGAGCACCTCGACGTGTGGCCATGGCCATGGGATCATCATCATCATCATCATCATCATCATCATCATCATCATATATATATATATATATATTATGGATTAATTTAATTGCCTCCATGATACCCCTTCCTCGTCAAGCTTGTGTGTTCTTGTTACCACATACTACATGCAAGTTGACCCTTTATTTTGCTGTAATCTATTACGACAGACTGGTAGAACAATTGTGCACGTAGTTACGTACATGATTACACATTAAAGCACAGCTAGTGATGCGTGTGCCTGTCTTTGAGAAGTTTCAGACACCCATCAGAAAACTTTCAGCAGCAGCTAGCCAAGGGCAACTATACTGATGGGGAAAAAAGGGTACCAGTCTCTCAGCGAGACCATGCACAAAAAGTTACTGCACTGCACGGTGCACACGCACCCCAGATAAGAACATGCATGCATGGGCCATCAGCTGTCCGTATAACGCAAAATCGTAAACAAAGCCAGCATCGACCTCTGCGGCCTGCTGGACTGCTGGCTGGCTGCTGCGCTGCTGCCCCGGTGCCCGTCATGGCAGCTTTAATAGTCCCCATCTGATGATGATTACCCTGGTGTGTTGTTTAGTATAATAATAATGCTCTCTTTCGTACCTTGGCCATGCTTCTTTTGCCGGCAGCTCACGGCTCAGGTGTGAGGCTATCTCCAACGACAACATCTAAAATACAAGATCTATTTGTCCTTTGAGTAGCGCTACAGGTAAAATGTTTAATATCCAT